ACTAGCTACCAGGTGCCATTCTCAGTGCACTGCACATATTCACTAACTCAGGCCTCAGCATGCCTCATCAGGCAGGTGCTACCATCTGCCCATTTTATAGATGAGGAAATAAAGGCCCAAAGATGCTAAGAAACTTGCCCAGGGTCACACAGTTGAGAAGCAAGCAACTGTGGCAGTCATCTGTGGCTTTGTAACAAATTATCCCAGAATTTAGTGGCCTGAAGCAATATTTAATATCTTCACAGCTTCTGTAGGTCAGGGATGCTGGCAGGCTTATTAACTGGGTCTTCTCCTTCAGAGTCTCTGTAAACTAAAATAAACTCCTAAGTCCCTGGCTGTCTGAATGGCCTCCTTGTGGTCAAGAGGACCCCAGAAAAACCTTAAAACTGAGCTCCCAGCCATAACGGGATGTGAAGTCAGACATACCTCATTCTACCCCCACCTTTTTGCGGTTTAGACACAACTGACCAGCATTAATGTTATAACAGAGATCCTAAGACTGGCAAATAGACTCACTGTAGCAGTAAGATACCAGATTATAAACAGAACTCAAGGCCATGCCAGGCAGGGGTTAAGTCACACATCCCTACCCTTTCTTCACGCTGTCATAGGTTTTTCTTTTTCTCTAGCAACTTAACAAGCACTGGCCTCGAGATACAAAATATTAAACAATTACAGCTCATCCAACTCGGAGATGTTTACTAGCTGACCCCGTTCCACCAGCCATAACTGCAGCTTTGATTTGAACTTACTTTGTAGTACTACAAAGAGCCTGTAGTACAAAGAGATTGATTTCAGTAACTCTCCTGACCGTGAACTGGTCCTGGCTGGCTGCACACTTGGACGCCTTCATGTCCTAAAAAGACCTTTTGACATGTAGGACCTAACTGTAATACATTTAAAGTCTACAGCCCAAAGTGAACATGGGTTGTATGTTGCATGAATGTTTGTCCGGTGTGTGTCAGGACCATCATGAATATTTACAGCTCCTCCTGCCACCTGTTGAATTTGTATGTTTAGCCGACCAGTTCAGCATAAAGCTCCTGCCCCAGCTTCTCTTCCCCCCAGGTGCTTGTCTCTGGTCTTGGCTGGAGCTGTGCTTCCTGGCTGCAGAATGGCCACCTTGCAGGCCATAACCCTTTGCAAGAAATAGTCTCCTCTCTAATTTTATAAATTGTGGTTGATACGGTTTGGCTGTGCCCCCACTCAAACCTCATCCTGAATTGCAGCTCCCATCATTCCCATGTGTTGTGGGCGGGACCCAGTGGGAGGTCATTGAATCATGGGGGTCAGGGCTTTCTCATGCAGGTCTCGTGGTGGTGAATTAAGTCTCACGTGATCTGCTGGTTTTATAAATGGGAGTTCCCCTGAACAAGCTCTCCTGCCTGCCAACATGTACGACATGACTTTACTCCTCATTCACCTTCCACCATGATTGTGAGGCTTCCCCAGACGTGTGGAACTGTGAGTCAATTAATCCTCTTGCCTTTATAAATTACCAGATTCGGGTATATCTTTATTAGTAGCATGAGTGGTTTTGTATTTTTAAAGTTAACATCTCTCAAGAAGTGGGTTGACTCAAGCCTCAATCAGGGCAGGATCTGTTTCCAAGCTCACATGCGGGTTGTGGGCGGATTAGGGTCCAAGGGAGTTGCCGGACTAAGGGCCTCGGTTCCTTGCTTCTCTAACACTGCACCTCACTATCGCAGGAAGGCAGGTGTGAGCAGTTTACTCAACAGGCTCAAGGCCACTATCCCCAGAAAGGCCTGAGTGGCAAGACTGGCCCTTAGCTGGTGCCTGGGAACTTGGATTTTGGGAGCATTCCCACCAGCCCAACTGGTAAGAGTGGTTCACTATGCCTAAAATGTTTATGCAAACAAGACACTGAATGCCTGCTTTCCCTGTGGGAGTCTGGAACGTTGGAGGTGCCAGACAGGTGACCACATGACCCCTGTAAACTCTCTGAGCACTGAGGCTCTAATGAGCTTCCCTAAAAGACAACCCTTTGCATGTGGAGGCACAACTCACTGGGTGAATCAAGTGTGTCCTGTGTGATTCCTCTGGGAAAGGACTCTTGGAAGCCTGCACCTGTTTCTTTTCTAGATGTTACCCCATTTGCCTTTGCCTTTCCCTTTGCTGCCGTTACAAGCCTTCCGTGTAATAAACCATAGCAGAGTAGGAGTGTGTGCTGTCCTGGGAGTCCTCACCAAACCCAGGTGTGGGCCTTGGGGACCCTGACACAGCACGAGAGTATCGCCACCAAGATGCAAGTCACAGTCCTCTATGTAACCTCATGGGAAGTGACGTCCCATCGCGGTGTCATTCTATGCACTGGAAGCAAGTCACGAGATGCAGCCCACGCACACAGAAAATGCACCAGGACACGAATCCCGGAGGCAGGGTCAGAGGGGCCACTGGGTAGGCACACAGGCCACAAGGAGTCAAGTCCCTCACCCTCCACCCCAGGCTACTCAGCATTTGCTGAAGAGAGCAAGAACAGAGATGGCCCAAACCCACTTCCTAAGAAGTGCTGAGAGTGGAGTGCCATTTGCCATCCTGGGCTTGCAGACGCCCATTCAGAATTGTGTCCTCTGGGCTCACAGACATAGACATCTCTTTTGCGCCACTTTATCATTATTCACTAATTTTTTTCTGCATCCTTCCAGTTATTTTACGTAAATTAGAAAGCACACCTCTGTCTCTAAGCGTGTGTACTTCCCCCCTTTACACAATGGCAGCAGAATGCACATTCTTTTCTACATCTGGCGTTTCTTTCTTGGAGGTCACTGGACCCCAGGACACAATGAGTTGCTTCCGCCCCTCTGCTGCCCGCAGTGTCCACTTGGGGGCTCTGCACCATTTCTGTCCTGGTGCCTCGTCATGGACGCTGAGGGGCTTCTGGGTTTCTGCTGTTATCAACATTGCATCAAATGACTCTGCAAACACATCTGACTCATCTGCAGGCCTGTGAAGTGGACTTGCTGGGTCAAAGCTGTCATGTTTTTTAAGGAAATTTACATTATTCATCTTTTCAACAGGTATTTCAAAGTTCAAAGGAAACAAGAGTTCAGTAAAAAGTTTTTCTCCCTTTTAAGCACCCCCACCAGAAGGCAACCGCTATTCCCAGCCCAACGGGCTACTTCAGAGAGGCCCTCATCACAGACAAGCCTGTTTGGGTGGAAGCGAAAAATCCTTCTTCAGGTAATGCCTTTTCTTCTGCAGTACACTCTTTGGGAATCAGAAGACCCTTACCAAGATGCTCATTCAGGATAAAACCCTGTATGTTAGGAACAGCCTTCTCTTGAACATTTCATCAGGCTTATCCATACACCACAATCACTGTCCACCTTATCTATCCATTTCTAAGTTTCCTTTTCCCCGTGTGGTCTGTACTTGCTCACCGCTGTTCTGTTGGTTTTGACCCCCACGCCCAGTGCTGGAGGCTGCTCTCAGGTGTCTGGTCACCCTGGGTTGTCTCCTCTGATGAGGCAAGGTGCTCACAGGCAGTGCTGAGTGCGGGAGTGACTCAGCTTTGAGCGTCGCTACGGGGTGGTAAGAGTGGGCTATTTCCCAGGAACCCTAAGGCCACCATCTTTATGGCTTTTCTGGAGCTGGACAGTTTCCCCAGAGAAGCATCTTCCAAAACCCTCTTCGCAGACCAAGATCCCACTTCCCTAAACATTCTGGGGCTAAGGGAGGAGAAGGATGCCAAGAGCACTAACCCCACCCCCACACACCTGTGTGGCCCCAAGTCCCCACCACACCTGGTGTCTCCAGTCCAGGGCCTGGGCCAGCAAGCAGGCTGATGGAGGCATATAAGAGGACACTGAAACTGACTGGAAACAGTTCCCACTGGCCAATCCTGGGACAATGTGAGAACCAAAGTAAGTGAGAGTAAAAATAAATGACTGAATGAAATGGGATCCTTGAATCCATACTGATAGAAACGAATAAAGGAGTAAACAGATGAGAGAGAAGTGCTTATTTTACAGAGAATGAAAACTAATAATGTAGAAGGGATGAAAAAAGGGGGAAAATCATTTGCAGTTACCACAGTAAAACTGGCTAAGGCCAAAACAGTCAAGAAATACTAAAGCTGGTAGTCAGAAGTTTGAAGAGAGAGAGGAACACAGTCTTGAAATATCTTCTTGCAAATGGAGAAACTCGGCAAGCAGACACCATATTGATCAAAAAAACACTTCACCACACTATAAAGAGAAAAACCAACATCAGCCACCTTCTGACATGATGCGATGAAAAGAACACAGCACCACCTCTGTGGTACTCTTGTTGAAAATACACGAATCACTGGGAGATTAGACCAACCAAAACTGAAGCACATTCAAACTACCTGACCTGTACCGCCCCCCAAAACTGTCTCAATCATAAAAGACAGACTGGGAACTGCTTCAGACTGGAGTGAACGCGAGACAAGACAGCCAAAGGCAACAGGGGTTGCCTCTGACAAAACTGGACATTGTGACTGCAAGGGACATTCCCAGGCCGCTGTGGCGAGCTTGCCGGTTAGAGGGTGACCTTGCATCCACGTTTGTGCTGACGCCAATGCCATGAGCTATAAAGAGGCTGTTTCTAGGAAACACAATGGCAGTAAGGGGGTAATGCAACACGCCTGCAACTTACTGTCAAAGGGTCCAGAAAACAACGCATGAGTGACATGCAAGCACACCGGAAGACGCAGGTGCAAACGGAGTGCCATGTTCAGGGTAGAATTCGGGTGAAACGGAAACAGGAGCCCTTCACATCACAGGGCCTGAACACAGAATGGAGACTCGAGACAAATCCAGCAGAGGCAGTGTGTGACCGCTGTTTGTACAGACCAATACACAAAATCAGGAAGACAGAAAAAGACTGCAGCCTTCACAGGCAAACTGCTTTCACTGGAGAAAATCAGGATCTATTCTAACACTGCCGTTCAGCCAAAAGTAAGTCTGTTGTTTCTGCCTCCTAAGAGCAAAAACAAGAATCACACATTTATACACTTTATGATTAATAACTTTATTTAAATACTCCAAGGAACCCAACCCCATTTAAAAATAAAAATTGCAAAGTACTCCATTCAATAAAAGCACATAAGTCCCCCTCAATAACTAGTATGACAATTCACGTTACAGCTCTTACTCTGGGAGTTTATTTTACCCTCTATCCCAAAAGGCACAAAGTCATCTGAGGCCTCAGGTATTAACCCAACTGCGTGTTAATGTCACACGGCTAATGTGCAACTTGGTGTAATTATTAAAGCTTATAACACAGCTCCCCAAGAATTCAGAGAGTTATAGATTCTTCCTATAAATAATAATTTAAAAAATACTGGACCTTAAGACCAATACAGGTTTAACAAGAGACCTGAAATTTCTGCAAGGGCAGTTTTATTTCTTGATAGAAGCACAACTTTAACAGTGAAAGTCTATTCCCAGCAAGAGATACTAGACGCAGTGTGGCCAAAGAAACAAAGTAAAATGAGTCATTTCTAACACGCTAAAAGAATACATTTTCATCAGCTCCATAAGAAAGCAGCCCTGGTCACTCAGAACGCTATCATCCCACCAGTCTGCAGCCGTTAAAAATACAGCTTTACAGGCCACAGGCTGTTCTGTGACCCGGAAGAGGCCAGTCTGTGTGTGAGGGGTGTGGGCTTTCACTGCCTCGGGCCTGCTCACCGGGGCAGCTGTGCCTCCGCCAGGTCACAGCCTGCTGTCACCTCCAGGCTGTCGGCCTCTCCGGCATCAGGACTGTGGGTCTCTCCTGCTCTCTGTCCCTCAGTCACCTCATTCTCCGGCTGTCCAGTGCTGGCTGCATTCTCATTTGTTAGGATAACCCCTTCCTTCTTCTTTTCTCCCAATACCTCCAGTCCCATCATCCTGAGATAATGAAGCCGCTCATTCTTGGGCACGAAAGTTCGAATGGAGGCCTTTCCCCGCCATCCGCACAAGACGATGGGACACTGCAGAGAGTCTGGATTCCTACAAGTGAAAGTGGTTTCACGCAGAACATTAAACATTCCCATAACTGCATCCAAAGAGATGTAATATGCAACTGCTCAAAAAAGAAAGCCACAAAGAGCGCACACCCACAAACCCCCAAACCACGCGGAGGACGCTTTCATCTGTGATCCGAGGGGCAGGTTTTCGCAGCTCCCTCCTTCAGCCCTGAGGAGGAGCCTCACCCTCACTTTCCCCTTGCCTCTTTCGTGCACAATGGGGTAGGCCCCAAATTGCAGATGTCACACACACTTGCAGTGCTGAGATTTCTAATACTTCCTCCTCAAACTTAACTTATTGCCCCCAACCCCGTGTCACCTCACCACTACATGAGAAGCATTTCTCCACAGGCTCCTCACAGCTCACCTCACCCCCAAGTTTCCTAAGTGACTGAGGCTCCTTACAGGCTGGAAGATGACGCCAGAGCAGGACCCGGGACCACTCACCCTTTTGATACTCAGCGTTTCGCATCGTTTGTTCTCTAGGGACCCCACGCGGCAATCTGAGCCCTGCTGTGCTCACCTCCACTTCCAGCATGCTGTGTTCCCCAGAGTCAGAACACCCCTGCCTCTCTGAACCTGCTCCGTCCCTCCCCACCTTCCAGGCGCCACCTGTCCAACCAGGTGGCATCGACTCCCTTCCCCAACAGAGACGGAAGCCACCATTTCTAACCTGCAGACGCCCTCTCTCGAGTTCTCTAATTCTTTCCTAGGGGACTCTGACCTAGATTTTAGGCTCCTAATGGCCCTATTTAATCACCTTTCCATTTTTCCTAATTTAAAGCAGGGCACTAAGTTGGCTTCAAGAAGTGAGAGGAAAATATAGGAAATTCCCAACTCCCACCTTCCTTAAAAAAAAAAAAAACATTATTCCTGAGGCTGACTTTTCACCTGTGTATTTCAACAAGTAAAAACGAGTGTTTAAATATGGAAAAGTGAATCCACAACTTAAAATATCCCAGTGTTTCTATGTGGGCCACATGAGACTGTTATTTAAAAACCGTTCCTGGGTCTTTACTCAAACTCTTGTAAAAACACCCAGAAGCCATCAGTGACTAGATGCTCCGGCCCCTCCACCGCCCAGACAGCATCTGCCTCCAGCAGGTCCCCAGGCGCCCATGCGCACGGCCTCGCTGACCTCCCCAGCCCATCGCCTGCTGTCCTCTCCCCTCTGATGCTCCTCCCACCTCAGCACCGACCTGTCCACTCTCCATAGGGCAGCCAGACAGCCTGAATCCTGAGGACACGTGGGCCCTTGGCCTCCCTGCCAGTGTCTTCCCTGACCCCTCCATCCGTCCTCAGCTGGGCACGCCCTGACTCCCAACTTGCTCCTGCCCCAGGGTCTGCACTTCCCTAGTTCCTTCAAGTTAGCCCTGGATCCCTGGTCCAACGCTAACTTCCCAAAGAAACCTGTACAGTGGTCCTACCTACTCACTCCCCCAAATTCCGTTCAGCCCTGGGCCCCATTTTACTTCCTCCTCTCAGAAATGGTGTTTCATGTCACCAAGAGGGAGCTGTTGCAGATGAAATCCTAATTTTGCCACTAGTGAGCTGAGGCGCTCTGGGCAAGCCACCTCACTCTGTCCCACTTCCTCCTCTGTCTGGCAAGTGTTACCAACACCAGCATCTGCTCCCCCAGGCCCATGAGGATGCAGGGTGAATACATGCAAACAGTGTGGAGCAGTGGGCCCATGGCGACAGTGAACGTAAGCAAACCCCATGCTCCAGCCCTCGCTCCTGATGCAGTAGCATGTCAGCAACGCACACGGCTGAACCAGTGATGAGGACGAAATAATGGAACCTCGCTCAACTGTCCCACCTTTACTTTATGCTTATTCTGTTTAAGACAGAACTTTTCATTAGTTTCTAATATTTAAAAACTAAGCGCTATGTACTTTATTCTCTGTAAGTAAAAATTCATTTAGCCTGAGCTGAGTGTTCTACAAAACAGTATCTTCATGATGACTTACAGGAATATTTGGGTTCTAAGTTTTCACAAAACTACTTCCAGAGGAACAATCATAAAAGGCTTGAAGAAGGTCCCCACCTTCCCAAGTCACCTTTCTCACCAACAAGAACCCGTAGCTAATGACAAGGTGTGTGCAGAAGGACAGGGCCTGCACCGACTTACGCAGAATCTGGTTCATACTTCAGCACGATGCTTCCCTTCGCTGGAAGAGAAACAGACACACATTTGCCAGGTTATCCTGGTAGGGAATGCATGCGACGAGGACATTTATGCACCTAGTGACAAGTATTCTGAAGAAACAGAACAAATAATCTACATTCTTGGCCTCAAGGATCTAGCTGGTGAAAAGCAGCCTTCTGGAGACATAAACCAAGTCCAAATGATGCAGTAGGGATGATCTGGAAGAGGATGCAGGCAAAAGCGATTCAGGGACTTCAAGGGACGTCACCTAACAAACCACTCTGAGAAGCAAGGAGGCTTACTTCTTGGGATTAACTGCTAGTTAATTCCTCCAAATTGAAGATTAAATAAACTATAACACCAACTCCCAGAATGGCATGAAATACATAAAAACTGTCTAATACTGCAATCACGTAAGTGCAGGATTAAAAGAAAACAAACAGCTCCCTTATGCTTTACAAGAATCTCTACTTTCAATTGTGGTCCTTGGCTGAGACGGCAGCGGGAGACAGACGCCACAGAACGTGTTTGATATTGCGGAGGAACACAACAGGAAGTTTTAAATGCAAGTAAGAGACATGATTATACATAACTGCAAGAACTGATTCATAGAGTTTTGATCAAATTGAGCCAGAAATATTAAACGGCAAGTTATTTTAAAAAATTAACAAGAAAGAAGACATCAGAAAAACAAAATTAGAATAGCTTGGAGAAATTATTTTTATGCTTAGGGGAAAACGTCACTGGAGTGATTTGAAGTGGAAGTTGATAAAATATAAAACCAGCAAATAAACCAAATAATCTACTGCCGCCGGCTAGCAAAAAAGTCAGAACTGCTGGCAAGACTCTTACTCTGCTCTCACACAGGTGGTTAAAACGCTAAGTGAACCAGATCCCCATGTTAGCCAGTCTCATGAGGCTGTGGACCTTAAAACACAAATGAACCCAAGCACAGAGACCTGCTTCTACCCACCCGCGACCTGCTGACAGGCAAGTGGGTCAAGAGCTCCGGCTGGAGGGCTGGTTGGGGCTGCTCAGAGGCCAAGCCCTTCATTCTCCGGACTCTTGGGTCCAGCAAGTTGAGTGAAGGCCTGCCCTGCAAGCCACACAGACACACCGTGGGCTGCTGGAAAGCAGCGGGGGGCCACCAGGGCCTGGGGAAGTAGAGCAACCCCAAGATGCCTTTGCCCCTTAGCATTCTGAACTGTCATGAGGGTTCTACAAAGCCCTCTGGAAAGTGAGGCAACCAGACTGCACTGAAAAATATGATTGATAAATATGCCCCAAAGATACCACCTGCATTCTGGCTGTCCTTTTAAAGAGAATACAAGTTATGTCTCTATCCATTTCAAACTACTCACCTAGGTCCTTCGCTTGACTGTAGGTCTCACTGCTGAGTTTTCTAAAAAAGGGGTTTTCCTGGGTCAACAGTATCTTAACATCTTCCATTGATACAGTAATAATTCTTGAATTAATAAATGGATACAATGTATATATTCCCTGTGTGAATAAAGAGAACAGAGACCATGATGTCATTCATGAATGACAACAGACTGCTCTCAGAGGCTTTCAGTGGCGCCTCGGGCCCTCATTATGGGCCCTCCCCTGGACAGGTGTGGAACCCCCACCCACCCCAAGCCCACCATGAGCCCCTGGAGAGCTCAACAACCGGTAAGGGTCAAGTGGCTAGTAGGGGCCAGCCAAACCGTAAGCCATTCAGACCATCTGGCAGCCAGAAAGCCCATCAACTCCCGACTGCCTCATCTGTCGCCAGCGCTGTTCAAGTGCACTTCCAAAATTACCTCCTGCGCCAACCGGAAAGCACAGTCAAACTCTTCGCCACTGTTATTTCGACACCAGACTTTTATTCCCGTGTTAATAACCTGTAAGTAAAAGTGAGATGAAGCACACAGAGATGAACACAGGACCATCCTCTTTAACGACACCGGGCCACACAGAGCAGCCGTCATGGAATAGGAAAGAGGAGGAGAAGCAGAAACCATCAAGAAACCCCGGCAAAACCAACTGGTCCTCACAACTTGTGTTTATGTGACTTGGAGGGCAGTAAAGCAAATGAAAGAGGGGCCCCCAAATGGCCAAATTCTAAGAGAAGTGTCTCAAAGGACAAATCCCAAGGATGGGGGCAGCAGCACTTGTAACCTCCAGGCCCTCAGTACCTTCTCTGCCCAGGAGGACGAGCTGTGAGAACTACGCTGAGGCTCACCCAGCTGTGAGAATGGAGCAAAGAAAAGACACCAGCCACCAGATTCAGGACTCTGGTCGGAACCACTCAGCCCTGTGCTGGTCAACCACTCTGAAGCCGCAGGGCAGGCTCAGGGACCTGCAGCCAATGCCACAGGTGGGGAGGGCAGACGCCAGCATCTGCGCCAAATGAAATCTAAGCAGCTGTGAAAAGCCACGCGCATCCCCGGTCAGCAGCCAGCTCCTGTGCGGTCGGCACCTTCATCCTCTCACTGTTGTTCAGCAGCACGTTCCGCAGCTCCTTAGAAACCATGTAGAGCTGCCTTTTCTTCCCTTCTGTCGTCCGAGTTAACAAATTCATCCTTGGGAATGAAGGATCCAAAGCATAAAATTTCCTGTACACAAAAACAGTGCTGTTTATACATACTCAGTTCAAAATCAGGTAATTTGTTTGTAAAGATCTTCTCCAGAATTCAATCTCTAAAACTGCAGTGTGGCTCAAGGGCATGGGGCTCTGTTCTGGACTCCCAGCTTTTAAACTTTGTCCACTTTCACCTGAAACCTCCACGTGACATTTATTTGAGGCACAACTCGATCAGAAACCTACATTAACAAGTGCAGCTTCCCTCCCTCAGCTGCTACTCCAATGATAATGACCTGAGAACACAACTTTTGAGACTTACAGACTTTTACAAATGTATGCAAAGGACCAGTTATGCAAAAGACAGTAAGCGACTGCTCCGGCAAATAGATTCTAAAATTCAGGGAGTAAGAAACAGATGAATGTGAGACTTACCCTGAACCCTCTTCTTCTATGTTCTAGCTACACCATCCCTAATCAACCCCCACACATGCTACACTCATTTCTTCTACAGGAACTGAACAAGGCCAACAGCCTTGGCCTTTGGTCTCTACACTCAATTGAACAATTTCGGTTCAGGATCACAACTGAGTAATTTACATTCATAGTCACAGCCCAGGTTTTTTAATCTATCATGTTCACAAAGTAAAGGTTACTTTCTCCTTAAATCGAAAGGTTGAGTTAATAACCTCTGAAGTTTCATCCTGTTCTAATATGCAATTAAAAAGGTTAAGAGGAAAAAAGCTAGGTGAGCCTCAGGGGCTCATGCCTGTAATCCCAGCACTTGGGAGGCCGAGGGAGCGGATCACCTGAGGCCAAGAGTTCAAGACCAGCCTGACAAACATGAAGAAACCCCATCTCTACTAAAAATACAAAATTAGCCGGGTGTGGTGGTGCATGCCTGTAATCCCAGCTACTCGGGAGGCTGAGGTAGGAGAATCACTTGAACCCAGGAGGTAGAGGTTGCAGTGAGCTGAGATTGTGCCACTGCAATCCAGCCTGGGCAACAAGAGTGATACTCCATCCACACCCCCGCAACCCCCCAAAAAAAAGCTAGACAGAATTACAGACAAAATGGTTAAATGTAATCAGTTGTATATTTGTTACTTTAGAGAAGATTTCTTTAAATGAGTAATGGAAAAGGCTGAATCCTTACTCAATAGGTGGAAACAATGGGTCATCTTCAGGAATGAATACAAACGGGTCTTCTTTAAATCCGAATAACTTCATTTTCTTTGATGGAGGAGGACTAAAAAGGGAATGAGGATGAGATACATCAATCTGTAATGGGTGGCAACCTTCAACACCAAAAGCACATCCTTCCTTTCCCATCGGTGCCTGCGTCAGTTCTGTGCAATACGAGGTTTGCAGCACGGATCTTCACCAGGCAGCAGATGTTGAAACCTTCCAGCTTCCACATAGACTCCAGCCCTCCCACTGCATGTGTCTGAGACCATACATGCACTGTGCCCTCAAACCCACCAAGAAGTGGCTTGGGATCCCATTTAATCTAAAAGGACTGTGAAGACACTAGAGTGTTAGGTCAAAACGTAACCCCTTTTCTTACCCACATACGCCATCTTTCCTATTGCCATTATTTTCTAAATCCTCAGTTGCATGAGTTATTTCTGTGTCACCAGTTCCTGTGACTGACGGACTTGCCAGCTTAGAGGGATCTGCGGGTTTCCCTTCTGAGGGATCTGCAGGGCTCAGCTGGGTGCTTCCTCTGGTCTCTGCAGATTTACCCTGCAGCTGTCAGACAGAACGATTTCACTGACACACAAAGAGTAGCAGTCTCTGTGCTGCGATGAAAAGTTAAAATACCAAGTTCATAAAATCAATCAGTTGTACTTTTCTTCTACTGCATTATATGTGGAGAAAGACAACAGAAGTTTTTAAAGTGTCATTTTAAATTTATTTCTTATAATAAACAAAATTTATCGACAGTTTCGTTGGAGTTAAAGCTGATTCTACCTTCATCTCACAAACAAAATATACAGCCTGTTTCTCAGCAGAGCCCTATAACGCCAGCTAGTTCTCATCTAAAAATGCGTACTGTGCACCTGCTCTGGGTAAGGTACAGTGAAGGACACAAAGTGCCTCAAGTAAGATCTCCACGATACCCAGCAGGGGCAAAAAGACAAATACATAAATAACAAGAAAGGAGGGCAGGAACTGTTCTGAGCACCTGGACAAACTGCCACAGAAACTGGGAGAAAGAGTGTCTGAGGCACAAAGGAAATGTCTGCCCAAGAATGAACTCTGAATTAAGGCCATGGTATAATTTAAATTTTGCTTTGGGAATGAGCAAAATGTTTTAGTTATGTTAAAGATCTTTAAAAAATATGTGTCCTTTTTAAAAAGTCGCAGAATTGATCAAAGTCGTAATTCCTCAGTCTCTCTGACATAAGTTTAAAAATTAAGATATTTCAAACTAAGATCAGAGAAGAACTGAAGGAGACAGAAATACGGAAAACCCTTCAAAAACAATCAATGAATCCAGGAGCTGTTTTTTTTGAAAAGATCAATGAAACAGATAGACTGCTAGCCAGAGTAATAAAGAAGAAAAGAGAGAAGAATCACATAGACGCAAGAAAAAATGATAAAGGGGTATCACCACCGATCCCGAATTCCTGGACACTTACACCTTCCCAAGACTAAACCAGGAAAAAGTTGAATCCCTGAATACACCAATAACAAGGTCTGAAATTGAGGCAGCAATTAATAAGCCCACCAACCAAAACAAGTCCAGGACCAAACAGGTTCACAGCCGAATTCTACTGAGGGAATCATCTCTAATTTATTTTATGAGGCCAACATCATCTTGATACCAAAACCTGGCAGAGACACAACTGAAAAAGAAAGTTTCAGGCCAATATGCCTGATGAACATTGATGCGAAAATCCTCAATAAAATACTGGCAAACCAAATCCAACAGCACATCAAAAGGCTTATCCATCACGATCAAGTCAGCTTCATCACCGGAATGTAAGGCTGGTTCAACATAGACAAATAAATAAACATAATCCATCACATAAACAGAACCAAAGACAAAAATCACATCACTATCGCAACGGATACAGAGAAGGCCTTTGACAAAAATTCAACAGCCTTTTATGCTAAAAACTCTCAATAAACTAGGTATTGATGGAACATACCTGAAAATAATTGAGCTATTTATGACAAACCTACAGCCAATATCATACTGAATGGGCAAAAATTGCAAGCATTCCCTTTGAAAACTGGCACAAGACAAGGATGTCTCCTCTCACCACCCCTATTCAACACAGTATTATAGTATTGGGAGTTTCTGGCTGGGGCAATCAGGTAAGAGAAAGAAATAAAGGGAATTCAATTAGGAAAAGAAGAATTCAAATTGTCTCTATTTGCAGACAACATGATTGTATATTTGGAAGACCCCATCGTCTCAGCCCAAAATTTCCTTAAGCTAATAAGCAACTTCAGCAAAGTCTCAGGATACAAAATCGACGTAAAAAATCACAAGCATTCCTATACACCAATAATAGACTAACAGCCAAATCACGAGTGAATGCCCATTCACAATTGCTACAATTTTATACCTTGGAATACAACTAACAAAAGCTGTGAAGGACCACTGCTCAAGGAAATAAGATGCAAACAAATGGAAACACATCCATCCCATACTCATGGTTAGGAAGAATCATTATCGTGAAAATAGCCATACTACCTCAATAATTCACAGACTCAACGCTATCCCCATCAACCTACCATTGACTTTCTTCACAGAACTGGGAAAAAAAAAAAAACCACCTTAAATTTCATATGGAACCCAAAAAATAGCCTGTATAGCCAAGACAATCCTAAGCAAAAAAAAAAAAAAAAAAAACCCCACAAAAAACCCCCCAAAGCTGGAGACATCATGCTACTTGACTTCAAGCTATACTACAAGGCTACAATAAGCAAAACAGAATGGTACTGGTACCAAAACAGAGATGTAGATCAATGGAACAGAAAGGAGGCCTCAGGAGTAACACCACACATCTATAACCATCTGATCTTTGACAAACCTGACAAAAACAAGCAATGGGAAAGGATTTCCTGTTTAATAAATGGTGTTGGGAAAACTGGCTAGCCATGTGCAGAAAGCTGAAACTGGACCCCTTCCTTACAACTTACACAAAAATTAATTCAAGATGGATTAAAGATTTAAACATAAGAACTAACACCATAAAAACCCTAGAAGAAAACCTGGGCAACAGCATTCAGGACACAGGCATAGGCAAGGACTTCATGACTAAAATACCAAAGCAATGGCAACAAAAGCCAAAATAGATAAATGGGATCTAATTAAACTAAAGAGCTTCTGCACAGCAAAAGAAACTATCACTAGAGTGAACATGCAACTATCACTAGAATGAACATTCAACCAAAAGAAAGCAAGAAAATTTCTGCAATCTACCCATCTGACAAAGGACTAATATCCAGAATCTACAAAGAATTGAAACAAATTTACAAGAAAAAACCCCATCAAAAAGTGGGCAAAGGAAGCCGGGCGCTGTGGCTCAAGCCTGTAATCCCAGCACTTTGGGAGGCTGAGGCAGGTGGATCACGAGGTCAAGAGATCGAGCCCATGCTGGTCAACATGGTGAAACCCCATCTCTACTAAAAATACAAAAACTTAGCTGGGCATGGTGGCATGTGCCTGTAACCCCAGCTACTCAGGAGTCTGAGGCAGGAGAATTGCCTGAACCCAGGAGGCAGAGGTTGCGGTGAGCTGAGATTGCGCCATTGCACTCCAGCCTGGGTAACAAGAGCAAAACTCCGTCTCAAAAAAAAAAAAAGTGGGCAAAGGATATGAACAAACACTTCTCAAAAGGAAACATTTATGCAGCCAACAAATATATGAAGAAAAGCTCATCATCATGATCATTAGAAAAATGCAAATCAAAATCACAATGAGATATCATCTCACGCCAGTTAGAATGGCAATCATTAAAAAAAATCAGGAGACAACAGATGCTGGAGAGGATGTGGAGAAACAGGAACACTTTTACACTGTTGGTAGGAGTATAAATTATTTCAACCATTGTGGAAGACAGTGCGGTGATTCACCAAGGATCTAGAATGAGAAATACCATTTGACCCAGCAATCCCATTACTGGGTATATACCCAAAGAATTATAAATCATTCTGTTATAAAGATATATGCACATGTATGTTTACTGCAGCACTGTTCACAATAGCACAGACTTGGAACCAACCCAAATGCCTATCAATGATAGACTGGATAAAGAAAATGTGGCACATATATGCCATGGAATACTATGCAGCCATTAACAAGGATGAGTTCATGTCCTCTGCAGGGACACGGATGAAGCTGGAAACCATCATTCTCAGCAAACTAACACAAAAACAGAAAACCAAACACCCTATGTTCTCACATAGGGTGTGATTCATAGGTGTTGAACAATGAGAACACATGGACACAGGGAAGGGAAGATCACACACCAGCGCCTGGCAAGGGATAGAGAACTAGGGGAGGGTTATCACTGAGAGAAATACCTAATGGATATGACAGGGTGATGGATGCAGGAATCCACTATGGCACATGTATAGCTATGTAACAAACCTGCACATTCTGCAAATGTACCCCAGAACTTAAAACATAATAAAATTAAAAAAAAAAAAAAATAGGATATTTCAGCACAGACAAGTTCATTTTATTCAAAGCCACAAAGCTACTGAGCAGAGAAGCCAGAAGCCTCCCAGGGAATACACTGTATTTCCATGTTAATATAATGTAAAAAAGCAAAGAACAAAACAGATGAACCCCAAGTCTGTGAGCAGGTGAGTGAGGGCACATGCCCTTCATGTCCAACCTCAGCTCCTCCAAGTGGGGCCTTTTTCCTGAGTCCAGCTCTAAGAGCAAGTTCTCCCATCTCTGTCCTACCTCAACAACCACATTTTGTGACCTTAAAATACCAAGGTCAGTGTGAGCTTCCCTGGTGACTTTTAGCCCAGTGCTTGCAGCAGATCACGGCATCCTGACCACGGAGACTCTACCTGTGGTCCCAGTGGGGCCAATGGCAACACAGGCCATGCTAGCACTAGATCTGTTGAACTAAATGAATAAGAAACTGACAAAGTAACAGAAAAAGAGAAGTACTCATATTGTTTAAATAAGCAAATGACAGTAAGTTGTCCTACAATGTAAGACAATACATCAGAGGCAAACTGAAAACAAATCAAAACCTTTCTACAGAAGTATGAACACCAGAAACGTCAATGTAACCCCCAACGCAGGCCAACCTAAATCACATGTCTCCAAGACAGGATCCTCTGTGACTGCACTGTGTTGTGCAGCTGGACAGCCACGAGCCAGTGGCCACTGACCACTTAAAATGTGACAAAAGTCTAAAGCACAAGCTACTGAAACCTAGTATGAATGAATGCAAAGTATCTAATACATCACAATATAATTTCTTATACTGATTCCCAGAAAATAACATTCCAGCAGAGTTATGATACCTTGTGAGACTTTTAGCCCAAGGCGAAACACTGTCTAACCTGACAGAAAAACCCTGGTGACAGCAGAAGTACAGTCACCCCCTTTGCCAGTTTGAGTCTGTACGTTCCGAGGTTAATCTGCATGAGCTGTGCCCCAGAAAAAGGCTGGAGCTCTGTGCAGAACTGTTTCCTTTTTGTTTGTCCAAAGGCTAAGCATTTTTTGTCCTGATTTTCAAGCATGCATCTTAAAGAAATAGAGACTTTCAGACTTTGATTCCAGGCCAGGTTCTATAATCACAGAAGGCTGACTTGTGAACTAATAAATAATGCTGGAGTGGATACAGGTGAGACAGCATGCATTACAAAGGACTGCCTGTCAAGATGAAGGCGATACTCTTTCTTCTCCACTCTGCTTCCTGGTCCGCCTTAGAAAGGAACCAGTAGGCAGCTGAGATCCATCGCAAACAGGCCAGGCTGCACCTTTCTAACCAGGGCTGGACAAGGCTTGTCATCATTCCTCGCGGGAAAGGTGAAGCCAGGCTGGCCTGAGGTCAACAGAGCTCTGCTATCTGTAATCAACTGAAATAAACCACTCACAGGAAACCGGAGCACAGAAACGTGGCGGCTTCCGACTCAGAGCCACACGGCAATCTTGGCATCTTTTCAGTGTCTCTTAAATAACTGGATTTACAGTGTGGCAGAAATACATTCCCCCAAACACTGATTTCTCCACTTACCTATCCCCTACGAGAAATTTCTGCTTTTTGGAACACTTGGTATTTAAATGAGTTCCCCTCATTCAGGCTCAGCTCTCCTGCTGCCCACAGCAGGAAGCTCCTCTTTTCTCTGCACTTCCACTAAACTCCAGTTTGTTTTCATCTTAAATTTATGAGATCAAATGTTATGTCATTTTGGAAAAAGAAAAGCTCACCTTTGGTTGACGTTTGTTCCATGGCATTGAAGATTTTTTCACCAATACTGCCACAAAGAACCCTCCAGTATTCTGATGATGGGGTAATATCCTAAGGCTAAATATAGATACATAATTCATACTTCTTAACTAATCAAAAATGCATTTTTTTAGCATTAAGACAAATAATGCAAATGATGCAAGAGAAAAATCATGTCTTCAGCCGTCACTCATAGAATGGCTGATACGTAACCTTAATTTTTTTTTTTTTTTTGAGACAGGGTCTGGCTCTGTTGCCCAGACTGGAACGTAGTGGTGTGATCTCAGCTCACTTCAGCAGCCTCCACCTCCCGAGCTCAAGCGATCCTCCTAATTAGCTGGAACTACAGGCATGCAACGCTCTGACTAGCTTTTTTTTTTTTTTTTTTTTTTTGGTAGAGATGGGGTTTTACCATTGTCCATGCTGATCTCAAACTTTTGTAATCCCAGCACTTTGGGAGGCCGAGGTGAGCAGATCACCCAAGGTCGAGAGTTTGAGACCAGACTGGCCAACATAGTGAAACCCTGTCTCTGCTAAAGCTACAAAAATTAGCCAGGCATGGTGATGAGCACGGGTAATCCCAGCTATTTGGGAGGCTGCTGAGGCACAAGCATTGCTTGAATCCAGGACACAGAGGTTGCAGTGAGCTGAGACCGTACCACTGTAGTCCAGCCTGGGCAACAGAGAGACTCTGTCTCAAAAAAAAAGTGCATGAAGTATCATAAGCATTAGAGGTTTTAGCCAATTTCCCTATTAATAAATGCGTGATGCCAGCAACTAACAGGCATGAGAGCCATACTGGCTGGGAAGTTCACACACATGGGTTTGACCCTGGCATAGCCCAAGCCTCACAGCAATGTCATCTGCTGCTACCAACTCACCCCGACAAGACCCACCAGCTCATGAGGGAGGGGCTAAACTTTCCCTAATCCCCACACCCGGAGGCCTCACAAGCTCACCATCGCTCCAGATGCATGGCCTGCAGCTTTTCCGGGTCCTTCAGCGGGAACATGGTAGGTCGGATCTGGGTGTGTCTGCTGTGAGGAACAGCGTCCCAGTCTGTAAACCACTGTCCATCTTTTGTCATTACCTGCAGAGCCACAGAGTACATTCCAGGTTACCAGCACTATTCAGTAATAACAAAAACCACAGGGCAAGAGTGTCGGTTCTCTCAAAGGTGACAAATAGTGATTCTCATTCGCTCCAAAGACAGGAAGAGTATTTGCCAACACAAAACACAACAATCTTTGCAGACAATTCCCAAATTATTAATATATAAATTCTGTTAAAAACAAAGATGAAATACATTTACTCTAAAAAGCAGAACAATCACTATAAAATAATTTTCCATCTAGTTTTTTTTTTCTTTTTAAACAAGCCTCAGGCACCTGTGGCCTACAACTTCAATGAATTATTTTATACTGGAAAAAAGGCTTGAATCCCAGCCCATTTAAAAAAAAAAAAAAAAAAAAAGCAAAGCTACCCTTACAGGGATGAGATAAAAGAGTTAATTTCCATAGTGGAATAAAGAAAACCTTTCCACTGCCACAAATAAACATGCCATTTGTCATGAAATTTGTTATGAAATAACATTCTGCAATTGATTCTAATCTGCATAAGCAGATGAGTATTTATTCAAGTTACCCACACGTGAATGCTTTGAATGTGGCCTCTAAATTAGTTATGTCACACCTACTCTTCTGTATGAAAGTCAGTGAGGAAAGGTTACCTTCCACTGAGTGATTCCTGGCATCCACTTCAGCCCTGGCAGTTCATTAGACACATCAGCAAGCTCCAAAGCACCTGTGTAGCAAAAGCATGGACGTCTTTCTTTTTTTCCTTTCAAAAAAATATAACACACTATGCCCAGTGGAAAAACCAGACACGTATCACATAATATATTATTCCATTTATGGACAATGTCCAGGAAAGGCAAAGCTATCAACAGAAAGTGGACGAGTGGCTCATGGAGCTCGGCTGGAACCGGGAGTGAGTGCTGATGGGCACGAAGGGTCTGTTGGAGTGATGGGAATGGCCTAAAACTGCACTGTGGTAAGGAGCCGTCAACTGGGTAAACTTACTAAAAATCCCTGAACTGTACACTTATAGCCAGCAAAGGCTGACAATATGTAAATAACACCTCAATAAAGTTGTTACAATGACACAGCATTGAGGAGTCCGCCATGAACGTGAAACTAACTCTGCAAGAAGACAACCAGAAGGCTGGGCTGCGGGGCACCCACTCTGTCCCCCATTCCAATGCACACCAGGATGATGATGGGCGTCTTCATGAAGTCCTGTCTGACAAATACCCCACAGCAATGCTGAAAACGAACTGCCGGAATTTTTAAACCTAAAGTTTGTGGTCCTAGGAAGTTTCCTAAAATTGTCCATCAGGACACAGTCCAATTTTAAAACAATGCGATAAAAGCTGTGAAAACACACTGGCCTTAAGTGTCCATACCAGTGACACAATGGGAAGCTGTAAGGTGAGGCCATTACAGGAAACCGTTGAGAGCAGCTACTAGCACAGATACTGATGTGACCACCTCTCAGCAGAAGGAGAAATCCAACAAAGCTCCCAGAAAACTTATGAAAATGGACAATCACAAAACCAAAGCAAAGGAATCCGTAAGGTGGAGGGATGACAACAGGAAACCTTGGACTCAAGCACCGTACTGACTTCTGCTGTCGTTTCTGAATCTTCTTCCTTTGAAAAGCTAACACTAAATGACAGTGCAGGCAAACAGTGACCGGCTTCTATCACAGTGCCCAGGGGCCTCATAAATGACAGGGCAGGCCTCAGGTGTTACCTCCCCTCAGCACCTGGGTTGGCAGCTGTCAATGCCACCCATGTTGCCCTTTCTCCAGTAAAGTCACTGAGCACTTCTGGGTGGGGAACGCACACCCCCTCCGGTCAAAATTGCCAGCAACCACCCACTCGGAGGCTCAGTCAAGGTCTGTTCCTTTCTGGATGAAGCCACATCCATGCACACGCCTCTGACAGAGGAACGGGAGGAAGCATCTACAATGTGGTCTGAAGGCAACCACAGGCACAAAGTTGGCTGTGACATCATGCTGTCCAAAGGTCCATGCTGGAAACCCACCTGTCCAGTAAGAAAATGACTACAGAACAGGAGACTCACTCAATGAATTAATCCATTTTTGACACTTGCTAACAGGAAAAACTACTACAACATACTGAAATGCTAAGTGAAAAAGTAGGGTATGTAGACATACACAATGCAATCAGAACTATCCAACACGGTGAAGACTAGAAGACAAGACGCAAAAAGCAATGCAGTTACTTGAAGGAAAAGAATCCATGTACTTTTTTTCTAAATATGAACGCCTTTATACATAAAACCCACTTGCCTAACAGTACTGGCTGTTCTTTGAAATCTCCTATGTGGAGGCACAAGCCAGCCCCTGACCAAGAACTTCCTCCACCCGCAAGGCATCTCCCCTGGCATCTTAGAAAGCTAAAATGATTCCACAATGTGTATAAAGAACCTGAGCAGACACTCTCCTTTCTTGGCTTTGTTTCTCCAAGTCTTACAGTGGACCTTGCTCTAACAGCAAAGTTGAACTGTACATCACAGTCTAACCCCTTCTGAGACTGTGATAATGAGGGGATAAGCCTCATTTTAAAGATCAGTATTTGAAAGCACACAATCTGCTCTATTGGTAATAAAGGTGCAATTCTGGCTTCGGTCTGCCTTGCTCCATGATCTTATTTGTCAACTGGTTCAAAACCTGGACAGGGAAAGAGGGCATCATTTACTGGGCTTTCAAAAGAAAGCCTCCCAGGCCAAGCATGGTGGCTCACACCTGTAATCCCAGCACTTTGGGAGGCTGAGGTGGGTAGACTGCCTTAGGTCAGGAATTTGAGACCAGCCTGGCTGCCATGGTGAAACCCCGTCTCTACTAAATATAAAAATTGGCTCGGTGTGGTAGTACATGCCAGCTACTTGGGAGGCTGAGGCAGGAGAATTGCTTGAACCCAGGAGGCAGAGGTTGCAGTGAGCCAAGATCACACCACTGCACTCCAGCCTGGGAAACAGAGCAAGACTCCATATCAAAAAAAAAAAAGCCTCCTACCTCGCAAACACACGTATAGTCAGAAATTAAGCCAGCTAAAGCCTACAAATTTGGTGAAGTCTGAAAAGATTCGCAAGCGTTCACTCAGAAAACCAGCCGTAGCATTCTAAATACAAGAAAAGGAACCAGCCAGTCTGGAATCAGAAAGACTGATGAAAACCTATAATCAAGAAAGGTTTCAGATCGGATGATGAAATTGAAATCTCCATCAGTGCCACAGGACGTTTCTGAAAAGCATATACTTTTAATAAAAGATGCAGCAAGCATGCTTACCTTCACTTTTTTCGAGTAAAGATGCTATGACTGCTTCATCCTCAATAGGGTTTAGTGAACATGTGGAATACACCATCCTTCCACCTTCAGCCAGCTGTTCAGCCCCACGTGTTACAATCCGCAGCTGTAAGCTAAGGAGCGATAGCGATATCAGATGACTGTAAGGCTAAACATATCCATGAAGTGCACATATAGAAACAACTGCTTATGTCACACATTCATTACAAGTTTTATAACACAATTATACTCAAAAAAAAAAAAAAAAAACCTTCTAGGGATCTAAGTGAAGTTAGAGTGAACCTATATAAAGTGTTTCATGTTAATTAAAAAAAGTCTATTCTGATTGGTCTATTAACCTTTCCCAGTATGTCAACCAGCAAAGCATAAAGTTCAGTAACAACAAAATTCAACGTACCAGATGAAATTTCACTACCAAAAACCCTCTATACTTTATAAATCTGTGGTTTTTCTATGAAAAATTGGTATCATACATTCCAACCTATCTCTCGTCTCTGTGTCAGGAAACAGTAAACATGTTTTACGGAGGCGAGGCCTCCTGCTGTAGCTAGCTGTGGTGGATACTGAGTAGTATTCTTTGCTCATGCACAGGACAGACCTGCATGCAAGACCGTGGCATTTGTCAGGTCAGAAGAAAAAAAGGATACAAAGCTCTATAGACAGCATGATCCAAAGTATTCAAAAAAAGCATTTTAAAAATTCCTAAAAACAGAGAAACAATACACCAAACATTAACAGACATTATCATCGTGTTGTAACATTTCTCTTTTAAGAACTTTCCAAATGTTCTTTAATGAGTAGTTCCCCATCATAAAAAGCCGACCGAAAAATATATCTAAGAGATCAAACTGTCTCAGCAAAACAATGATAAAAAAGAACAAAAACAGAGAGGAAAAGGTAAGACATACACCAAGAGATAAATGGTCATTTCATGGAAAAATACATATTTGAAATAAGAAATTTTTTTAGAAGGCATTTTTAATAAACGTGTCATCTGAAATATATACAATTTGCAGTTACTGCTCTTAAAAGGTTTTCAAACAAATTCTGATAAAACCGTTGAAGGTGGACAGCTCTATAATTAAAGATCGGCTGCTCAGTTACATAATGCGACAATAAACCTCTGCAAATCCACTTGTCACACAGTGTTAGCGGTGACGAAGTTTTACTTACCCATGTAGCTGCAAGCTATTTAAAGTGGTCCACTTTTTCCAAACATCAATGTTTTTTCTCATAGTGCCGTCTCCACTGGGGAAAAAGGTATTAAAGAGTGTAAAACTCTGTATGGGTGGATGACTGCATTTTAACAGATAAGTCACATTCAAGCTAAGTCACAAAACAAGTGTTACAAATATCAGTTAGAAAACAATCTACATTTTCACAAACTACAATCAACTTTGTTTTAGGGATTTTCTAATGTATTATACTTTACTTCAATTTTCAAACAGAAAAGAACAGATTTGAACAGTAAACTCCATTCACTGTCTAAAGAGATATTAATGTGCTTCCATTTGGAAAAAATACTAGCAAGACTAATTTGTAGACCTAGGACACAGAACCTAAAATATTATTGAAAAACCCAGCTAATCAACAATGACATTTTAATCAGAATTACATGAATAATAACTAATAAGAAATTTTCCACAGTAACTGCAATTAAGCTAATACATTAGCAAAATTTTTCCTACAACCACAGTTAAGAACATTTCTGACTTTCTACTTTTATTTAATGGAAATGAAATAAAAATTTTCATGTTTTTCAGAACATAAAACACTACTGAAAACTCAGTTAATCAACAGTGGCATTTTAATCACAATAATTCAATGACTAATAAATTATTTTCCACAGTAACATATAGTAGCTAAATTTTCCTACAATCATGGTTAAACGTTTCTGATTTTCTAATTTTATTTAATTGAGGTTATTTTCATGTTGTTGTTAATAGAGGCAATTTCCATGTACATGTTATAGTAAGACTGGACTGTTACCTTCTGTCTATGTCTAATTCTATCTATCCTGTTTCTCTAGAGGTAATGCCTGTTTCTGGTGGCCTTCTCTGTAAATGCTCATTTTCCTTGGTGGTCTAGCCACGTGTACACGAGGTACCAGGTCTGCAGGACAGAAGTGTCCCATGAGAGCTAATCCCCACTTTCCAGTGGCATCCCTGGCTGTATACTAGTGGCTTCTATGGTAGAAATCCCACCACAATTTCAGAAATTTCGTCAGCTTGCAACTGTGTTCTCAGATCTCAAGAGTATGATACAAGGAACAAGTTATCTTTCTGATAAAAAAAAAAACGGGTGGGAAAACATGAGACCCCAAGGAATACTGAAAAACTGCAACCAAGAGGAAAAAAAACTTTAGTTCATGACGTATTTTAAATTTTACGTTGAAGAGTTTTTCCAGATATTAGCCACCAGCTGCAACTTCCATACTGAGTTCCGCCATGAGCAGTAAATCTGCCACTTATTGAAATAAAATGTCATTCTTCCATAATGTGGAATGTATTCAAACCTTGTATTCTGTGCTAACAAGTTTTGTGGCAGCTTTTGAATTCTGGTTGCGACAGATTTATGTCACTCACAAGGCATTATCACATGGGAGCAGCATCCATGCATCTCCTATGGGAATGGAACAGATGAGGTCTAATTGTGTTTCTTTCCTTTTCAGAAAACCGTTACTCAGTTATACCATGAGTATTACTTTATATCTAAACTCTAAATATCTAAAATGTTCACCTATTATCTCAAGAAAGGTATAAAAACACAAGTAAAATGAATTTCCTAACATCTTGAACTCCGAAATTTCTTTCATTTAATTAAATAACATAAAACCCAATGTGATTACATATTACTCTATGACAAAGTTTTTTATATACTGTACTCACTGGACGAACTAATAAAAAATAAGTAGGGCACGCAAATTGTTCCAAGCAATCACATTCTAAAATACACCACAATGAGAGTCTATGATTCTGTTTTGCTCTGAGATGTTCTCTCTGGATCTTTCCGCAGGCTATCACAACCACCCCTTTCTGTTCCTTGTCCAGCACCTGCTGCTTCTCATTCAGACTCTACGTGTCCGCCTTCTGGTTTAGGCTCACACAACCTTTCTCTGTACTCCAAGACTCACATACAGTTGAGTCATGTTCACACACAATTTCATTTTAGTCTTCATTGGACTTGATTTCTTTAGTGGATTTTAGGCTTTCTGGCCACTAAGATAAATACCTGCAAGGGACATCACATAAAATTCGATCATAGAAGAGGATCTCTTTCCTGCCGCCCACATCTATCTGGAGCCTGGGTATGCTGGAGGCATCATGGTTGACCACCATGATGCAGGGGCTGCTCAGCCTCTTGGCTTGATGGACGAGCAGGTAACAGCGCTTGTTGTCCACATCATTCGCAATAACAAAGCCCTCTGGAGACAGAAGTGCAGTGTCAGATGAAATGGAGCCTAAGTGGAGTCACTTCCTGAAATATGCAACCTCTAAACATCAGCCAGTGAGAAACAGCAATCCACCAAACGAGACGCACAGTCAAGGTTTTCTACAAGTACGTTAAGTGGTTCAAAAGAAGGAACCAGGTGGCTTTGCATGGATTTTATGAACACTTCAATTTTAAAAACCTCAAAAGTTATCTATTCAGCAATTACTCACTTTGTGCCAATTACCAAACCAAAAATGTCTTTTCTATTACTAGTAATGATTAATTACAAAAAAAGATGAGGAGAAAGGTGTAGAAACAATAGAATCACCTGACGAATGTTTTGAAATCCTGAATATGGGTCGGGACTCTGCTCTGACTGAGTCAGGCTCCTAGGGCGGGGCCCAAGCACCTGAAGGCGGAAGCTGTTCCTGGAGGCTCCACAGGCTGGGAATTCTACTGGGTGTGCCTCTGCTCATTTCTGGTTCTTCCCACACCCCCAGCAAAAAGGCAAATATATCGACAACATTTATGATCAAAGCCACTCTTCAAAACAATATGAAACGCAAAACATCCATAATACAAAGAGGAGAACCTGCTGCTGCTGGGACATCAAGGTTCTTTACTGCCAGTGTGGAGAAAATAAAAACAGGGAAAAATAAAGTAGGCTTTTAAGCCAAAGCATTATCTTTAAATAATGTAAAAAAGAGGACTTCAAAAAACAGACCAAACAAATATGCCTATTAAAACAGAACTAGAGAAGTTTGCCTGAACAAAGATAGGACGAGATGAGAGCTGACTCTAAAACACCACGAGAGGTATTTGTCTCCACTTAAGACAAAGGGGCGTGAGTGTTAACTATAACAGCTACCATTTCCTGAGCACCTTGCAGGCTACACACTTGACGTCCCATTTCATAGGGGATGTCTAACACTGTCAGTAACTTGCCGATTAACTGGTAGTGGGACTTGAACCCAGGGAGTCTGACAGTAGGTTTTTTTGTTTGTTTGTTTTGACAGTAGCTTTTAACAACTACACACTACTGCCCTTCACATAAGGCAGTACGTAATAATAATAACAATAATAAAGGTAAGGGAAGAGGGGAAGTTGTTACTACTAAAAATTCAAACAGTGAAATCCATCTTCTGTAAGTAGGCTTGATAAAGAAACACCATTTACTTTTATAGAAAACACACATAATTCTAAAATAAAGCTACCCCAAGGTATGAGTGTGCTGGTTTGAGAATTATTGACAGTGGTACACAAAATGTCCAGTTCTACTTCCGGTAGCAAGAAAACCCATCTGCTTGTCATAGGAGACTTTAGGACCAAATCAGCAGGCAAAGTTAGAGTCTTTTCCTTGTCTACAATCTGCCAAAGTGGCATTCCTACCCTTCTGAACGCAAGTCCAATGCATACCTGGAAAGGGGACATTCATGTCGGCATGTAGCATTTCAATTAACTGTGTGGTCTTTGAGCCAGGTGCTGCACACATATCTAAGATCTATTAACAAAGCAAGAAACTGTTTCATGTTTTTAAAAAAATCAAATATTCTACATTTAGTTTAAAGCAATTTTATGAGTCATTCTAGTTTTTCAATTTCTATTCCAAGATCTAAATACACTTCTTTACAGAGTGAATCTAAAGCATGACATATTTTAGTTTTTATGGGATTCCATAAAATATACTGCCGCAAAATCACAGAATGATATAGGTACAGTCTCCAAAGAGGATGGGAACAGAATGGAACCGGAAGCCAGTTTAGAGATGAACTAAATTTACAGATGAGCGAGAAAGAATCGTGAGAACATAATACTGAGGAACAGAGCTACCTATGCTCAAATCTCAGCTCAGCCACTTGTTAGTTCTGTAACCTGGGGTCAATTACTTCACTTCTCCTTGCTTCCTTTTCCTCATCTGGAAAGATGGAGATGGTGACAGTATCTGCCCTTGGAGGGTTGTGTGAATAATAAAGCAAATTAAGTCACCTAAAGAGCACAGAGCAAAGCCAGGAGCAGTGGCTCATGCCTGTAATCCCAGCACTTTGGGAGGCTGAGGCAGGCGATCACCTGAGGCCGGGAGTTCGAGACCAGCCTGACCAACATGGAGAAATTCCATCTCTACTAATACAAAATTAGCAGGACTTGATGGCACATGCCTGTAATCCCAGCTACTCGGGAGGCTGAGGCAGGAGAATCACTTGAACCCGGGAGGCGGACGTTGTGGTGAGCTGAGATCACGCCATTGCACTCCAGACTGGGCAACAAGAGCAAAACTCCGTCTCAAAAAAAAGAAAGAAAAAAGAGTGCAAAGCGATGCTTGCCATACAATGAGCTCTTGATACATGTTCACTATCATTTTCAACCTAATTTAGCCAATCAGCATCACCGAATATAATCCACACAGTAAACAAATCAATAAAACTAAAGGGGAGAAAACAGTTTCCTAAACCATAAAAATTAAGTAGGACAAAAGAAAAAAAAAAGAAACTAATAAGATACATAATATCACTCTCTATCCAAAGTGAAAAGAAGAAAAAAAGGACTAATTAAGAAAAAGTGGTTTCAACAGAAAAAAACAGGCATGACACTGGTAACAAGCTGCCCGCCCACACATTTCCGGTCGCTGTGTGCTACCTTATGATGAGGCTGGACGTTGAGCAGCAGTGGTGGGATCATGCTAACAGCTTCCTGACGACTGATATTTCCCTTGAGAAAAAAAAATCAGCAACAATTAAAAAAAAGAAGGCAGAGAATTTCAATCTTTGGCATCATTTCAAAGGCAACAGGCAAACCCCATACAATCTTCCATAAAACAAGAGAACTCACACAGAACACTAAATGAAGACGGGTCTGTACGCTAGCGGACAAATGGCTGCTATACGATTCCAGTATTAGAAATTCAGGTATAACACCAACTTTCATGAAGGAAACGGGACTCGAAGCTTACAGAGCCCCAGATCCCCATCGCAGGAGAGCACAGAAGCTGGAGGGGCAGCTTTCAAAGACAGAAATGCTACTGAATATTTAAACAAATACCTTCAGCAGCAGAGAGCATCACCTTAGGACAGAAGTGACTGTCAGATGGTTTGTCCTTCTTGCCTAAAATTCTATTTCTTAGTCCTTCTCTTTTTCAGACACAGCCCATTCACTTTCTATTTCTCACAACTACCTTTCAAAGAGATGAAGACATCCACCACTTTCCATCTTTAGGCCAACGATATCTAAAATCCCTCACCACGCTCCCTGTCCTCTGCCGTCTCTAGTGCACAGGGCATCTGTTAGAAGGCAGAACTGTTCGGATGCAGACAAAATCCTCCTGCCCTGGCCCAGCACTAGCCTCAACCACACCTCTATTTTAACTGCCTTGAAGGTAAGGCTTCTGCTCCACCACAACCCTACAAAAGTAGGAATTCTGGAAATGAACAGCTACCCAGGCAGCCATCACTCACCTTAAACTCGGGCATCTGACTGTCAGAGCCTTAAATACAGGCTTTTACATTGATGGTTGCTAAGTTTCACCTCACGAGTTTCTGGCTAGCATGAGTCTGTAGTGATTCAATCACGAGGCACACTGATTCCAAGCTTTTGAGTTATATGTGTGATCCTGATATGCCTGCCTTCTGTCTCCATCCAAGGTTTCAATTCGAGCATTAATTAAGATGGAGACATCCCAGCAGTCACCGGATTCATGATCACCCCGTGTAGAGGTTTTATGGCTAGCTTTCTGTAACCCAGAGGGTACTGCCATTCCTCTCAAGAGCTCTCATCATGCTGACTCCTAATCAAAAACCTACACTAGCTCCCTGCAACACCTGCTACCCACACTAAACTCCCACCTCCTCCATCTTCCCAACATGCCAAAACCTGGCTCTTCCAACTTATACACGTGTATCACACCCCGCAAACCCCATGCTCTCTTCCAAGTGCAAACCTGAGCTATTCTCTAGCAGCTTACTCATCGTTATTTGGCCTTCCATCTAGATTGAAAGTTAAGCAAGAGAATCCTTTCCTGCACTGGTCACAAGTATGGAATGGGGTATGTGGCAGCACTTAGTTCCTGGTTCTTGTTACTATTCAGGAAGGAGAAGCCAGACAGACAGCAGCTCAGTTTAGCCAGTTACCTAGATGACTGAAAGCCACAGTGGAGCTCAAAGTGAAAAAAACCATAATCTGGTGACACACAGATTTACTAGAAAGTAGTAGTCTAGAAAACTGAAAGGAGGAAACCTCAGATTTTAAATATGAGACTAGGGATTCCAAAAAAACCAAATACCCAAACTTTATGAGCATTCACTGAATTATTTACTACATAAGCAAATAGCTATTTTTCTGGGGATGGTCTGATGCTAACAATAAAAAGCTCAGCACCTGAACTGCACTCAAGGAATGCGGGTGGCAAGAGGTGAAGACGGATGCCATCCTGTGAGAACAAAGCTGTACTTAGGTGTTCTGTGGTTCTGGCAAAGGTAAAATCCAAGAATAATGCGTGCCAAGAAAAAAAAAATAGATAGTAAAAACTAAAATCAAAAGCTTCATTTTCAGTAAATCAATTTTTAAAAAACAAAACCAAAAACCTATTCCCCACCAAGATGGCCTTAAAAACATATCACTTTATATGTATAACGGGAATCTAAAATGTGTACCTAAGAAGGAAATGAAGTACAGTGCTCACCCTAATCCTACAGCCCCCAAATCCATGAGCATGAAGAAACAATAAATTAACTAGCTGGGATTGATACCCTTACTAAATGTTATGCTTAGATAAACCAAACATGGCAATGGATATACAGATAATCAGAAACCACAGGTGGTGCACAGACTGCAGGTATGTTTACTGTGTATGACGTGTACCTATTGCTTCTAGTGACGAGAACCTAAAAACAGAACTTCGATACATCTATGCATTTCCAGCTTTAAGGAATCTAACAAATCAAAAGAAATCAACTTACAGATTCCGTTTCACTAACTAGAAACTGATGAAACTTTTCCAACTGTGGCGATTTTCTCAAGATTTTTCTACTTAAATTTGTGTGCCAGGCAAGTTCTTCAGGATACCTGAACAAAAAGAAAGCAAAACATTGATGGATTATAAATACTTAAGTGTCTGCTGACAACTCTGTGCTTGTAGCGGTTGTGCCAAATGAGACTTGGGATGTTGTTCTCCTTGCTCCGATTCAATCCTCTAAGACAGCTGGCAACACTCAGAGATATCCCTGTGGCACAAGGAACATGGCTGTAAGAACTCTGTAAATACATACAACATCTATGACAAACCATCCTCAATCTAGACATTAAAAAGCATATAAACAGGCCGGGTGTGGTGGCTCATGCCTTTAATCTCAGCACTTCAGGAGGCTAAGATGAGTGGATCACTTGAGGTCAGGAGTTCAAGACCAGCCTGGCCAACATGGCAAAACCTCATCTCTACAAAAAATAAAAAAATTAGCTGAGTGTAGTGATGTGGGCCTGCAGTCCCAGCGACTTGGGATGCTGAAGTGGGAGGATCACCTGAGCCCAGGAGGTGGAGGCTGCAGTGAGCCAAGATCATGCCACTGCACTCCAGCCTGGGTGGCAGGGACCTTGTCTCAAAATAAATAAAATAAATAAAAACAGCACGTAAATAGAATAACAATAAGGGGCTCTCTGAACAACTGGTTGTCAAAACAATGGTTTTATAAGAATGCTTTAGGATAACTCCTCACTGTTCTGAGTCTATAGAAAGTAGGAAAAAAAATGAAATTAGCCCAAGCTATGGTCCTATTCATAACTTTCCTTCCAGAAAATGTAGCTCCGAAAAACACTTTCCTAAATCATATTTCACTGTGTACTAGAGGATTGGGAAGAATATTTCATGATCTATTTCCGCATCTTGAGCAATAGAGAAAACCACCAAGTCCTGGAAAGCTTCTGCTTTACTTGCTTGCTGAGTTAGTATCCTACAACTGACAGGTGAATTTAAATAAATAAATGTTTAGAGAATAAAGCTGCCAAGAAACTGGCACTGGGCAAGAATGGTGGCTCACATCTGTAATCCCAGCGCTTTGGGAAACCAAGGCAGAAGGACTGCTTGAGCCCTGGAATTCAAGACCAGCCTGGGTAAGACAGTGAAACGCCATCCCTACAAGAAATATAAAAATTAGCCAGGCATGGTGGCATGCACCTGTAGTCTGAGCTACTCAGGAGGCTGAGGAGAGAGGATCACTTGAGCCTGGGAGGTCAAGGCTACAGTGAACCATCATGACATCACTGCACTCCAGACTGGGTGACAGAGTGAGACCCTGTCTCAAAATAAAATAGAAAAACCATCATTGATAATGGAAAAGCCAAGTATTAGGAACCCAAATCATACAATGTTTTGTTCAGCTGTGTGTTCAGAAAGTTTAAGCAAACATAAACATAGCTGGCTTCTGGCAGAGAGTGATTCAATTCCATTCTTCAACTACGGACAACCTGCAGATGCTAAGAGTTTGGTAATTGCCTTGTCATATACCCAGACATGTTGTTCAATAAACGAGATGAAAAAGCAGCTATTAAATGTTAAAAGGACTGATCAAATCAAAGTTTAACTGTAATTTGCAGAGAATAATAACAAATAGCAAGCCTTATTAACATCGCATGGTTTCTCCTAGTTTGTTGGGGCCTGCAGAAGAAAATGCCCACACTGATGTGCCTTGAGAGCCCATCTCTTCCCTACAGAGGCATGTCCTGCTGGACAGGGATGTCTTCACCTTAAAAGCATTTCTTATCCCATCACTGTGCTTCTAGACACAAGGATCTAGAGACAAGTCTTTCCAGGCGATTGTGTGAAGCAGCACACACACACATCACTGCTAAAAATACAAATGTGCCCAAGGTCAATCATAATCCTGTCTTATGGTTTGGCCCTGTGTTCCCACCCAAATCTCACCTTGAATTGTAATATTCCCCACATGTCCAGAGAAGGACCAAGTGGAAACAATTAAATCATGAGGGCAGCCCCCTCCGCATGTCGTTCTCACAAGAGTGAGTTCTCAGGGGGAGAGCTGATGGTTTATAAGTGGCTTCCTCCTTTGCTCAGCACTCATTCTCTCTCCTGCCACCCTGTGAAGAGAGACCTTCGGCCATGACTGTAAGCTTCCTGAGGTCTCCCCAGCCATGCAGAAATGTGAGTCAATTAAACTTCTTTCCTTTATACATTATCCACTCTTGGGTATGTCCTCATAACAACGTGAAAATGGACTACTACAACATCAGACCTCTACTTAAAGCAGAACACAATCAGTGTCATCCAATCTTCAAACCAAACCACTTGAGAAAATTCCACAGGCTAGTTACTATGAGGGAGAAAAGCCTGATCCCATGAAGGCTACCTCATCTCAGCAACGCCGTAACTAGAGGCTGAAAAACATCTCCCCCTTCCACTGACCTCACTACAGTGGACAATTAGTGACCACTAACAGCAACCTAGCACCTGAATAGAAAAATGTTCCTATACTGTACCCTTCAAACTTTTAAAAATCTAACGTTATATCTTAGCTCACTGAGACCTCCACCTCCCGGGTTCAAGTGATTCTCATGCCTCAGCCTCCCCAGTGGCTGGGATTACAGGTGTGCACCACCATGCCCGTCTGATTTTTGTATTTTTAGTAGAGACAGGTTTCACCATGTTGGTCATATTTACTATCATATCCCAGAAACACATTCCATGATGGTGATATTTGGTCTTGATATTGATTGAATACCGACTTAATGTTTGGTAAGTCAACATTCCCTCTGAATGTATATGATACGTACATCTGCGATATGAACAATGAAATTCCGAGCAGCCAATGAAAGAAAAGCCAGCAAATTTGTACCCCATGATTAATGAAAATTTGACTGTGATTTGCAAACATTAAAGGTTTCTAAAAAGGAAAGATAACATCACGTACTGGAATAGTCAAAGCATCAAAAGCTAATACAAAACGCTTAATTCGCCTTTTTATAGCATTATTTAAGATAATGCTTTTCTTTTCTGAGAACTTAATACCTCAAAGTTAATAACTTGAAATATGAAACTATAACAATTTGCTTTAATGACTCTTCCATTTATAAGTTAACCAAAGGACTGGCGTCTCCGGAGTACCACAAGCATCTTTACACGACGCTGTCAGCACAAGGAATCACCTTCATACAACTGAGACTAGATATGAGCCATGAGGAACAGGTAACCCAGAGGGCACCTCCAGGACAGGGGAAGAAAGAGGTAGCTCCCGGAGCAGCAGTACACTCAGGTGCTGAGACTCGGAAATGCTATACTGGTTAGGGCAGTCTCTACTGGGAAGTACAAGGAGATAACCTGACAGCAGACAGAAGTAACCTGTCTGTAATGGAAAATACCAGGAGACCACCTAACAGGAAACTGTCGTCCAGCTAAGTGTGTCCTTTTCCTGAAGGCAAAGAAGCCACTTTGCAGCAGTTTTGATGTGAAAAAGCAAGGGCTATAACATGGAGCTGGCAGAAGTGGTGACATAAAGGAAGAGGCTGGATGTACTAGGAAGAGTTCGCTGAACTGAGCGACTCATGAAGCTGCAAATCTCATGAAAACTTGCATACCAATGCAATGTTGATAAAAAGCACCAGGTATTAGAATATTAGGATGTCTGCAAAGTAAACCCAGGCTCTTTCATGTTAACAGCAAATGCAGTACCAAGAAATACAACTCAAGTGACAGAGACTGAGACCCCAAACAAGTATTCGAGATGAAGCACTGTGGTACTTACCAACTCAGTGGTTGCGGAACTTCAACTTTCTGACCGTCCACCTCCAGGTTCTCCAATTCCTTGAAATATTTGTTCTTTAAGCAATGGAGAATCTCTTTTGCATGGCTATTGAAAAACAAGAAAGTTTCAAACTGATCTAAGAAGCTAAGCTAATACGTTGTATCATTTAAATTTAAAACTGCACGTTTTAAAACTAAAGCCAACTTTGCACGGAGACAAAACAGTCTTTAGTCACTACTTTTACACTGTATCCCTTTCAAAATTTAAGCAATTCACACTGTTTGATCCTAAGAGCAACACTGCATTCCTTCTCTCCCAAGTATACCTAGTTTTTTTACTTGCGACTCATTTAGAAAGAGGTACCTACAAAGATGGGGGAGGGGAAGGATCAAGGGGTTTTATGCATTCTCTGTAAACTCGCTTACGTTCGAAAAGGTAGGACCCTCAGCTCACCAATCCCCAGGAGCCGAATATTCCTCAGATCCCATTTTCACTTCCTCTTCTAACTTTGCACCTGCAATACCTCCGTGACCACTGCATTGAACCCTGTGCTCCCACCTCAATGCTTCCTGAATTAACACCGCTGAAACGCCACGGTTCTCTGGCACTGTAACACTTGTCAGAGAAAACACCATCGCCTTTCACCTGGAGCATGCTGGCCCCCAACTCGCTAAAAAACCAGGCACTGCCCCCTTACCTTTTGTAACCAGTAATTCTTAAAGTGGCCGGGAGGGGCTCCCTGAGGGCGTCCATGAACTGGTCCCACTCGCCCTCGGGCACGATCTTCAGCTCCTGGTAGTAGTGCTCGAACAGCTTGTTCTCCTTGACGATCTCGGGGTACCCTCCTTCCCAGCCCTGAGGAAGGAAAGGGACGTCTACCCCGAGGCCCGAGGAGCCGCCTCTCAGGCCTCGGCGTCCGAGAGGCCCACGAGAAGCCCCAGACCCACTTGCCCGCCGCGTCCCGGCTCCTACCGCCTCGCCGCGCTTTCCGCCGCCCTCAGCACCGTCCTCCACGCCCTCAGGCCGCTGCTGCTGCTGGAGCCGCCGGCACCGCGACCGCCGCCCCATGGCCCACCCGGGCGCGCACGCAGCACGCAGGAACCGGCCCGGCACAACCGAAACCGGGGCCCGACAGCTCCACTTCCGGCCGGAACCCAAGGCCCCAAGTGTCCGGGCCTGGTCCTTTCGGGGGCCTTCGGGGACCGTCCAGAAATAAGCCCAAAGCGCACAACCCATCTTCCCGAAAAACAGCATGAGAGGGAAAACCGCGGACAGCTCCGAGGGGAAAAATGGCTCCAAGAAGTAGCCACAAAGGCTTCTGGTGCGAAGCGCCCGGGTTTCCCACGCAGGCTCAGGGATCTCCCTGGACAGCCTGAGACTGCGCATGCGCAGAGCGGGGCGATTGCGGCGGCCCCGGCGTGGGCGGGGCGTTTGCTGGTCCCACCCCGCGAGGGTGCTCGCCCCGCCCCCGGGGGCCGCGCCCCCAGCCCCGACTGCCCAGGAGAGGCCGGAATCCGGGACCGGTCCTGCCGTGCCGGGCGGTGCGGGCTTCGGGTAGCCGCGCCTCCCGCCCCCGCGCCGCCGCCCTATATGTTGCCCGCCGCGTCCTCCGGGGCATGGAGCGCGGCGCCCAGCCTCGGCGATGGCGGAGGAGCGCCTGCTGGCCGCGCTCGTCTACCTGCAGTGCGCCGCGGGCTGCCTGCTCCTCGGGCTGGACCAGAACAGGAACTCTTCGTACGGCCGCCTGGCGACACCCAGGTGCAGGCTCCGCGTGCCGGCTCGGGTCGCCTGGGCCGTGCAGGAGCTGCCCTCGCTGGCCCTGCCGCTCTACCAGTGCGCCAGCGAGTCCGCCCCGCGCCTCCGCCACGCGCCCAACCGCATCCTCCTGGCCATGTTCCTCGTGCACTACGTACAACGGTAACGTCCCCGGCCCCCGGCCCGGCGTCCTCACCAACCCTCCCGTCACTGCCCGGTGCGCTCTCCCGGGAGCCTTTCCCACCCAGACGCCCTCTCCCTGCCGGCCCCTCCGGAGCGTCCCTCCTCTGCACGGATCCCCTTCCCCTGTCGTCCCTGGGGTGCTCTCCCCGGGTCCCCCGGCTCCGGGATTTAGAAACAAGGAGGGATTCGTCTAGAAAGGGCGGGAAACAGAAAAGGACTGGAAGGGAGTGGTGGAAAAAACGGGATGAAACCGATCTGGAAAGAGCCACTCGGTGGTCCCAGGTTTGGTTTCCTTAGCCGGCACGGTGGCACCTGTCTGTTACTCGGAGGCTGAGACAGGTGAATGGCTGGAACCCAGTAGGCGGAGGCTGCAGTGAGCCGAGATCCCACCACTGCACTCCAGCCTGTGCGACAGAGCGAGACTCTCTCAAAATTAAATAAATAAAAATAAAGAATTAAAAAGTAAAAAGTGACGCAAACTGAAAATGGAGACTAGATTTTATTCCCTTAGATCAAGACTGCAGGAGGGCCTATAGTCTAATGCCGATGCTCTCCAGTCTTGAGGGCCCCTGGTTTCTGCACCTTTATGCTGGTTCCCCTTTTGGTATCTTTGGTGATGGTGGAGCTGTTTTCTCCCAGCCAAGTGATCAGCTGCAACTGGAAACCTGTTATCCTAACACTGCCTAGCAGTTTCCCCATAAAGGCTTGATCACTTTCAGAGACATTTACCTCCACCTTATGCAGGGGACCTCAGGACTGTGGGATGGCTTTCCAGGCAATGACCTTAAACCTTAAACAAATGAAGTCTTAAAGATGACTTCTAAATCTTTCAAGGTTTAGGGGGTTGTTGTTGTTGTTTTAATATTTGAAAACCGGCTGTGTCTGCAATGGCTGGTCAAAAGTTCAAAATCCAATTTTCAATGTTTTAATTCAGTCTCTGGAAAGCTTCATAATTAAAAGGGTGTCTCTGCACCCAAGGAAATGGAACTCATTAGCTGTGTAACTATGGGCAGTTTACCCAACCTTTCTGATTTGGGGTCCCATCTTAAAACACCTACTTCCCAGAGAGACAGGAAGAACTCACTGTGTTTATAAGCCTCTCTTCTTTCTCCTGGGGTCATGCATTCCAGCGAAGAGAAGGTACACAGCTCCACTGCTTGGAACCATGTTGTACCCAGTACAGTTTTCAGTACCTAAGTTCCCTGAAAGCCAGCACCTTACCCTGTACCTGGTGTCTGGGGCAGTCTGTGTCCTCAGTTTGCTTCAATGCAGACACTTTAAACAGAAAGTTTAAACAGGGACAAGTCAACATTTATCAGGTGCTTAATGAGTACTGTGTGCCTGAAACTCCTTACCATTACACAAAGTTTTTGTCTGCTTGAATTTTTTTTTTTTTTTTGTAATGGGATCAAGCATTTCTACAATTCGAATATTAGTCAGACTTTGCTGTTTGTATATACTTTTTCATAAATATACCTGTATGTCTGTTTCTTTATGGCTAAAAGCAATCTCAGGTCAGAGTATTTGGTGCTGTCCTAGCCCCATTGCTCATGACCCAGGATGAGTTACCAAGCTGCCCCACAGCAAGGTTTCCCCCTGTAGAATGGGCAGTGGTGGAACTGCCCTGTGGGATCACATGCATTTTAAGCAAAGGCAACTCCCTAAAGTGTTTGCATGGTGCTGGCGCATCTGGGTGCTCAATGCACGATACCTAGCACTATTTTGCATTGCCGTGCATGCGCGTTCAGGCATGCACTCTGTGTGTCATTCACGTACATTGCTGCCAGCCTCGTGGGCCAGCCAAACTGTGGTGTTGGAAATGAAGGGAGCAAAGTTTCACAAAGTTTTGCGTGAAATCCCAAGTGGAAGCTTTTTAACCAGAGACATCATGTTTAATTGTACCTATATTCATTCAAGCAGAAGAATGAATGCAGCCTCCCAAAGGGCCAGAGTCACCTTGAGTGATAGATCTTGAACAGCTCATTCATGCAGAATAGAACACGGAGCATACTGGTGTCTTCTCTGAGACGGTTGGATGAGGAGCTGCTGGGACGAAAGCCCACTTCCTACACTAATAGTTTAAAAGCTGCTTCAAGCCAATTGGCTGGGTCAGGTACAGTTTTTTTAAACTGCTGGGCTATTTTTTTTTTTTTTTCAGTTGTACATGTTATTGTATACATAGCTATGTGGTTTGGGGACATTTACATTTTCCAAATAGAAAAAGATAAACACTTTCCATTCTACCCAAGCAACTGATTTATTAAACAGTCATTTGACCTAAGTCAGTGAGGACTTGGAAGAGAACCAGAGTGGAAACAGCATTGAGCACTCAACACAAACCATCTCAGCAGTCCCTGGAAGCGTCGTGGAGCCCCTTATTTGCATAGGGTCCTGCAGAGAACACCAGACCCAGTGGGCGGAGGCTGTGGGTACAAGCATGACTCAGGAGAGGCAGGAGAAAGATGAAACTGAGGAGGCGCTGGCCAGGCAGTAGCACTTTATACAACTTGACAGGTGTCCACACAGGCCCTGTGCTGAGCTGTGAGGTTTCACAGGAGTGAGGCGGGGCCCTGCTTGGAGCTACAGCCTCTTTTGGGAATGGTGAGAACCAGAGCAAGGTACAGGGGCTTTGCCCAGTCCGTGAGGCCTGAGGGCAGCAGCAGAGATACAGCTCCTGGCAGAGCAACTGACAGTTCCGGGTACTATGAGTACAGGACAGCTCAAGGAAGGAGGAAAAGTAAAGGGAAGAAAAGTAAAAGGGGTGGAGGGAATGGTGTGCTTTCTTGTATTCATTCCTCAAACATTTACTGAGGACTCATGTGCCAGTGAGGATTTCTGGACCTGGCGTTGTGCTGGGGATATGGTGACAACACATTCCCTTTGAGTTGAGGAGCAAGTCAGGTTGCAGAAGCTACGGGGTCTTTTGGACACAAACCCCAGGGAGGGAAAGACAGGCTGCCTGGAAGGGAATGGGGCTGGGGTGGGGAGACAGCCGTGACGCAGGATGAGCCAGGGTCCTGACCAGGTCCCCCAGGATGGCAAACAACATTGTCAGGAACATCTTTAGGGCTCGAGGTAGCGGCAAGGATTGCCTGTGCCCTATCTGTGCTGAAGCCTCCTGTTCTATCCCAGGGTGCTTGGGTTCTTGGGGGCAGAGGCAGCAGCGTCTTATTGGGGCCTTAGGTAGCACATGAAGTGGCATCTGGCACAGTGCCAACCTCCTGCCAGACCTCCCTAGGGCTTTCCATAGCCTGTGCTTACTCCTATCACCTTTCCCTTCCACTCTGTGGTTACAGGGATGTCCCTTACCCCCCACATTTATCCTGTTACCTGGCCATCATTTTTGTCCCTAGCCCTCTATTCTGTCTCCCTGGGCTGGAGCCATAATCCAGGTCCTTGTCACCTGTGTTGGTACTTGCTGGGCTTCCTCGCTCCACCCCACTGGTCTTTCTCTACCATTGCCCTTAAATCCTCCTTTGCTAGACACAGCAGAGGTCTCCTGGAGTCAAGGGCATTAGCTCTGAACTGTGTTGGAGTCACTGGGGGGCTTTGCAGACTGCTGCCTGACCTCAGGCTCTTTCTCTCCACCCAGGCAGGTTTGCTTGGTATTATTTGAACCCAGTCTGCTTTGCTCGTGGAGTTTCCCTCCCCACCATCAGCAGTGAGTTAGTCGAGGGCTTATCTCTTCATTGCACCTCCATTTAACAGCTCACTCCAAGGAGCCTGAGCAGAAGGTGCTCCTCGCCACGGGAGCTCTGTGACTGCCTTTGTTAGGACTGTTGGCCGGATGGTGCCCAGAGAGGCAGTCAGATGCCCGGAGACCTCCTCTTTCTGACACCTGCCCCGGGTTTGTACTCAGCCAGGTCCTTGACCTTGTGGGACTTTGCTTCCATCTTTATCGCTGACGATGGTGCCTCAATAAACTACACTGACTTTGATTTCTTATTTCTCTCTTGTAATTCTATTAATGGGCTCTTGTAGGAAGCCTGGCCCAGCTTCACTTTTAAATGTGTTGTGTGTAATGTTGAAACACAGCAGGAAACTTCCAGGGTAAATTATGTTAAAAGATAAACTTAGGTACATTAAAATTGTAGAGTTGTTTAGGCCGAATGTGGTGGCTCATGCCTGTAATCCCAGCACTTTGGGAGGCTGAGGCAGGTGGATCACATGAGGTCAGGACTTCGAGACTAGCCTGACCAACATGCTGAAACTCTATCTCTACTAAAAATACAAAAATTAGCTGGTCACGGTGGTATATGTAATCCCAGCTTCTTGGGAGGCTGAGGCAGGAGAATCACTTGAACCGGATGCAAAGATTGCAGTTAGCTGAGATTGCACGATTGTAGTCCAGCCTGGGCAATAAGAGTGAAACTCCATCTTAAAAAAAAAAAAATGACCAGGCATGGTGGCTTATGCCTATTATCCCAGCACTTTGGGAGGCCAAAGTGAGCTGATCACCTGAGATCGGGAGTTGAAGACCACCCTGACCAATATGGAGAAACCCTGTCTCCACTAAAAATACAAAAACTAGCAGGGCATGGTGGCGCATGCCTGTAATCCCAGCTACTCAGGAGGTTGAGATAGGAGAATTACTTGAACCTGGAAAGCGGAGGTTGTGGTAAGCCGAGATCGTGCCACTGCGTTCCAGCTTGGGCAACAAGAGTGAAATTCATATATATATATATATATATATATATATATATATATATAGTAGCATGTTTTTGCAGGGGACAGCAATTCGTGAATCAGTACCAAACCACAAGTAGGGTGGGCTCCACCTGGAAGGTGTGTGAGAAAGCGATTTTGTAAGTCCTGTTTGCATAGGCAAGACAAAGGAAGCATTTGATTGGTCAGAGTGGAAAGTCCTGGAGGTTAGTCGGTGGTTTCTGATTGGCAGAATCTCTCATTAGAAGTCACTTGGCAGTTTCTGATTGGTTTAAATTTCCTTCCACTGTTGGACTTCCATGTGCTTATGTGAA